CAGCAATGCATGTCAAATCTCAAATAAGTCTGGAGATTTTTAAAGTGCCTGTATTTTTATTGTTTTAGAAGAGAACATGATGAAATTTGCAGTGACACTACAATGTTAGTGCAGTGATACAGAGGCAAAATATTCAAACCGTCATCTGACAGTCTGTTTGTGGAAAAGAGAAAAAATGTTCCTAAAATAATACCCAAAGAATATATACTCCAATGAATTAATGGTAATATGCTATTTTAATTGCTAAACTGATTTAAACATTCACTATAGTACAAGACACCTGTGCAAAATGGAAAGCAAGTTATTTTTGAAGAATTTCAAGCAAACAAGAATAACGACGATGATGATGATGATGATGATGATAATAATAATAATAATAATAATAATAATAATAATAATAATAATAATAATAATAATAATAATAATTGGAAAGGACCTTGGAGGTCATCTAGTCCAACCCCCTGCTCAGGCAGGAAACCCTATACCATTTCAGAGAAATGGCTGTCCAGTCTCTTCTTTAAAACTTCCAGTGTTGGAGCATTCACAGTTTCTGGAGGCAGGTTGTTCCACCGATTAATTGTTCTGTCAGGAAGTTTCTCCTTAGTTCTAGGTTGCTTCTCTCCTTGATTAGTTTCCATCCGTTGCTTCTTGTCCTGCCTTCAGGCGCTTTGGAGAATAGCTTGACTCCCTCTTCTTTGTGGCAGCCCCTGAACACTGCTATCATGTCCCCCCTCGTCCTTCTCTTCATTAAACTAGATATACCCAGTTCCAGCAACCGTTCCTTATATGTTTTAGCCTCCAGTCCCCTAATCATCTTTATTGTTCTTCTCTGTACTCTTTCTAGAGTCTCACCATCTTGGTGAGACCAAAACTGGTCTCGTGGTGACCAAAACTGGATGCAGTATTCGAAGTGTGGCCTTACCAAGGCATTGTAAAGTGGTATTAATACTTTATGTGATCTTGCTCTAAAACATATTTTACATTTTACAGAATTGGGTAATAAAGTGCAAGTATTCAGAAACCATTTTATCCATGCTTTTCCAACTTTAGAAACTGTCTTGTTTATGCACAAAATTGTCAGGTCCTGGAACCTTCAAGGTGAGACATTATGCATAGGCATAATGCAACAAACGTAGCCTGATATTCAATCTTCTAAAATTTAACCCTAACTTATCAACTTATAGATAGAAAAAAAGTGGATAAAGATAAAATGCTCACTGCGTGTTGAGGTTTGCAAATGTGACAGTTGTACATCAAATCAGAAAATGCACAGTATTTCCCAATTTCACAGTCTTCATCTATTATGCACTCCTGAGAAAAAGAATAACAAATCTTCAGCAAAAGAAAAGTGTGGTTATTCAGTAAAACTGCATGCGACCAAAGATGCATTTTTGCTCCAAAGGCACCTAGGATAGCAGTGTCTCAATACTGCATTACATAACAAGAGTAATAAAACAATCCTGATGCCCCAAAATGAATTATAGACAGTGTTTCTATACAGCCCATCTGATCCTAATGTTTCAAAAGTGCTTTAGACTATCTCTTTGATGAGTTTTCTCCAAATTACATGCCCCAGACTACAGACCAAATACATAGAAAGTGCACATTTCTTCCAACATGAAAACAAGAAAAACTGGTCTGTGTACCGTATTTTCCGGCGTATAAGACCACTGGGCGTATAAGACGACCCCCAACTTTTCCAGTTAAAATATAGAGTTTGGACTATATCAGGGGTAGGCAACCCAAAACACTCAAAGAGCCACTTGGACATGTTTCCCACCGAAAACAAAACACTGGGAGTCGCAAAACCCTTTTGATATCTAAAATGAAGATAAGACTGCATATATCCTTTTTTACCTTTATGATGTGTGTGTGTGTGTGTGTGTATGTGTGTGTGTGTGTGTGTGTGTGTATGTTTGTGTGTGTATATATAAAATAAAGGTAAAAAAGGATATATGCAGTGTTATCTTCATTTTAGATGTCAAAAGGGTCTCTCTCTGTCTCTGTCTCTCTTTCCTCTCTCTTTCCTTTCTTTCCTCTCTTTCTTTCTCTTTCCTCTTTCTCTCTTTCCTCTAACTTTCTCTCTTTCCTCTCTCTTTCTGTGTCTCTCTCTCTTTCCTCTTTCTCTTCTTTCCTTTCTCTTTCCTCTTTTCTCAATCTTTTTTCTTTTTCCTCATTTTCTCTTTCCTCTCCCCCTCTTTCTTTCTCTCTTTCCTCATTTTCTCTTTCCTCTCCCCCTTCTTTCTCTTTCCTCTCTTTCTCTTTCCTCTCCCTTTCCTCTTTTTCTCTTTCCTCTCCCCCCTCTTTCCTCTCCCTCTTTATCTCTTTCTCTTTCCTCTCTTTCTTCTTTCCTCTCTCTTCTCTTTCCTCTTTCTCTTTCCTCTCCTCCCTTTCCTCTCTTTTTCTCTTTCCTCTCCCCCTCTCTTTCCTCTCCCTCTTTATCTCTTTCTCTTTCCTCTCTCTTCTTTCTCTCTCTTTCCTCTCTTTCTCTTTCCTCTTTCTCTCTTTCCTCTCTTCTCTTTCACTTTCCTCTAACTTTCTCTCTCTTTCCTCTCTCTTTCTCTTCCTTTCTTTCCTCTAACTTTCTCTCTCTTTCTCTTTCCTCTTTCTCTTTCCCTCTTTCCTCTCTCTTTCTCTTCTCTTTCTTTCCTCTTTCTCTCTCTCTCTTCTCTTTTTCTTTCCTCTTTCTCTTCTCTTTCTCTCTCTCCCTCTCCCTCCAGGTTAGGAGAGAGAGAGAATGAAAGGCAGACGGCGCCGAACGGGCAGGGAGGGGGAGGACGGGAGGCAACAGCTCCCGGCCGCCGCCCCCATTGCGTCCTCAGCCGAACGGGCGGGGAGGCAGCGGCTCCGGCAGCGGACACTGCAGCATCGTCAGGGTCACTGCCGCTGCCCCGACCCGGCCGCCGCTCCCGCCGCATCCTCAGCCACTTAGCCATCGCAAGAGGAGGGCGCCAAGGCGGGGTGCACCATGGGCGGCCGCGGCTGCAATGGGGAGTGCTGCCGCGGGGACGAGGGGGGGTCCCAATCGCCGTCAGCCCCGCCGCCCTCGCAGCCCAAGGTCTCCTTCTCCTGCAGCACCGAGGGCGGCGGCAGCTCCCCGAAAGTGGCCGAGGAAGGCATTACCGATGGGGCCGGGCGGCGGAGAGCCCTGTGGCAGCCAGGCGAGCTTCATGCCTGACTGCCGCGCGGCCCGGGGAGAGATGTGGCCGGCTCGGCTTCCCGAGGTGCGATGCCCCGCTGGCCGCCAGCCCAGCCATGACTGCCGCCCGGCCCGGCCTGGGAAGACATATGGCCGGCTCGGCTTTGCGGGGTGCGATGCTCCCGCCGGCCGCCACACCAGCCATGACTGCTGCCCGGCCCGGCCTGGCCTGGGGAAACATGTGGCCGGCTCGGCCGTATTTTCCGGCGTATAAGACGACTGGGCGTATAAGGCGACCCCCAACTTTTGAGAAGATTTTCAGGGTTTAGAAAGTCGTCTTATACGCCGGAAAATACGATATATATGGCTCTCTCTGACTGATTGCCTAACATTGTATTGGACTAATTTATTTAATCATATAAAATCAAACATTCCAATAACAAACAGAGTCTAACACTTTGGTACACTTTTTTCAATACATACATCAAATAAATAAAAAAATGCAGACAGTCTAACAACTTTTAAACAAACTTTTAAAAAGCTACTTACAACCCATCCTCAAAGTTACAACTACAGCTGCCCCTCACCTGCAGTCATGTGATGGGGAGGCACTAGGCAACTGACTGACATTTACAGTGACCTGTAGTTACATAACTATGTATCAACTTTAAAAATGAGCGTGGCTGCAGCCATTTCCTACTCATTTTCGGTTGACACAGCACGGAGGGAGGGGGGTTTACCAGGTGCTTCGCTAAACTAAACAGATTTTTTCCCATGGGAACCAAGGTCATCGGCTGCTCCCAGAACTGCAGGCTGGGCATTTTGTGAAAAGCCCACCAAGAAGTTGTATTGGGGAACGCAGTAGCATGCATAGCTTTAGGGTGGGATTTCTTAACTTTGTATTGGGGATTGTTACTGTCTATTCAGACTTGGTTTCGTTTTTGACATGCCGATACTTTGAATCAATAAACATGTTCTTTGAGGAACTTACAAGCCGGAGTTCTGCTTTATTTGTCTCTGTCTGTCGGAACCATGACACTATGATTTGCAATGCAAAAACTGCCCATTCAGAAAATTGATTTGCTTAATGGCCATGTGATTCACATAACAAGTCCAATCACATGGTGCCTCAACTTTACTATTGCAACAACTTAGACCGAAACTCAAGGCTCAAAAGTTAAGAACTATATGCACATAGCAAATACACTCCACAGTAACTTACTGTACTGAAGAAAATTTTCCCTAACACTGATTTAGTGATTAAACTTCCAAGTTATACCAAAAAAGTGAAACAATTTTTGCCTCATAATTTAAATTTGACCAAGAATTTCACTGAGCGATCAAAGTTATTGATTCATAGTTATTGATTTATAGTTGCATAAACTGAAGACTGAACCCTGAAGACAAACCAAGAAATAATGGATTAGCCAGACCCAAGCTGTCTTCGATTTTATTAAACAAAGAGTGAGCCTCTCCACCCATTTCCTGCATCCTTATTATGAACGAAGAAAGGCTGTGCAAATACGTTTACATTTAGCAATCCCTGTGACAAGGTGATATCAGAACTGAAGTCCAACAGTTCTGGATAAAACAAGGCTTTACCCTACTGAAGAGTGGCTTCCCTGTTTGGCTCTCCTTTTAAACTTTTACTCCTAATACCATTAGCCTTATTTAGGCATGTTTGAGTATCTATGGCTTTCCTAGCCACGCTTCCACAAAGTAGTAGTTACTTCCAAAAGCCCTCCTCCCATAAAGTCTGATTTATATTCCTGATGTTGGTTCGATGGCCAGCATTCATGCTGTCGGTCTCAATAGGTAGCTGTCTTCTGACAGGAAAAAAAGCAATCACGTCTGTTTTAATTCTTTGCAGCAGCTCCTTCTTGTCCAAAAGTCTCCTGCTGATAGCTATTAAGTTTTCCACTCATTCTGCTTGGCCCATCTGAAGACTAAATATTTAATGTGTTTTTCCCTGCCTTTCCTTCTCTGATTTATTTTTTTAAGGCACTATCTTGAATATTTGAATATGGAATATGGATTGAATATGGAAATATGCTGTGTTTCATGTAAGAATCAAAAGTACTTTAGCTGCAAGACCTTTTAAAGAAAGGTAGGGTTTCAGCAAGTCTCCATGGAAAAATCTACGAACTGTGTAGACAGCATAAGAACTGCATACATGGATAAAAGTCAAATGTGTTCACTAAAAGAAGCAAAAGTAAAGACACCCTCAAATCAAGCTTATCTCCTGCAGGCAGTATCCACAGAAAAGATTCATCACAGCCTTCTTCTAAAAGGTTTCTACAACTTCCCAAATTGGTTAACTCCAATAAAATTCTTGGCATCCTTCACCCAAATGCTAACCACGGCCGATTCCTATTTAGCTTCTAAGATCATCTGAGCTCAGGTAGCGGTTGCCACCTGCTGAGGCAGTATACTTACTACTACCATGTTTTCCCGAAAATAAGCCCCACCCCCCCAAAAAAGACCTACCCTGATTTTTGGGGGTGGGCCTAATATAAGCCCTACTCCAAAAATAAGCCCTACTCCAAAAATTAGGACCCCACCCATCCATCCCACCTTGCTACCGCAATGAGGCAGGAGGCTGCGCAGTACATCACGCTGCTGCCATATCGCACTGCTGCCACAATGAAGCAAGGCAGATGGGGTAGAGCTGTCCCATGAGCACCGCACCTGCTTCCTTTAGCCCCCCCGCCAGCCAGGCCATTCCTTGCTCAGTGACCTTCCCTTTCATTTCCCTCCCGAGCTGGACTGCGATGCTACGGAGGATGGGTGGGGTAGGCCCGGTTCCCTTCCACCGTTTCAGAGCCAGGGGGAGGGATTTTTTCTCACGGAAAAAAAATCTTGGGAGAAGTTGGACGGTCTGACTGAACTATTTTTAGATCCACAAACTCTTGTTTCCCTGCAGCAGGAGAGAAACGCACCAGAGCTGGAAAGCAGGTTAGTGTTGAAATTTTTTTGCTTTCGGGAGGAGAAACAGCAGGAAATGGGGCTGCCATTTTCAGAACGGAGAAGGAAAATGCGGGGTGATGCAGGGCGGCAAGCAAGTGCTCTTCTCTGGTCTGCATCACTGTGCAGAGCCGCTCCATTCCCTGTTCTCCATTCTCTCCAATGGCGGCGACGGAGGACTGGTGAAGGGAGATGTCGGGGGAGGCTT